AAGGACTGCAGACTGATATCAACCATTGCCATTTCAGCTGTGGATTCCATTTCTGAGTCCTGCAAAGGGAGAGACAGAACTCTGCAAGATGAGATTTGAAGGCGTTGCATGGGCAGAGTGCAGCTGCAAGATGTCTGACGAAACTTTCATTTAAATGTTCTAATGAAGATGGATGAATTCTGGAATGTAGCAATATGTCGTCTGGTATATACAAGCCAGAAAGCCGATTCTGTACGTAAGGAAAGTCTTCAACACTGAAGTTCTGTTCCAAGCGTGTGGGAAGAAGAATTCTGTGTTTTTTCTGACTGTAAACATCTTTCTTTAGCAAAACAGACTGTGAGCTTGCAGAAAGGGCTTTGGTTTACATTATCTATACAGCAGTCGCTATATGTTCCCCCACTATAAGACATTTCTTGGTTAAATATTTCCACTACTGGTGAGTCTGAAATGGTATGCTAATGCCTGATTTCTAGCTTGAATGCTTCTACCCTGAACTACCGCCTCTATTTAATTTATATCAATTCATTTCTGATGTAATAAGACACAACAATCTCCCACTCCTAGTGGGCTAATTACGGATTCTGCCTCTATGTGTCCACGGGGATCGCAGCAGAGTCCCTACGTAGCCCCAGAAACGAAAATTTAGAGGTTGGCTGACCGCGGCGAGACATTCCATGATTTGGTAATGAAGACGACGAAGATACATTACGTAGTTCGGGACGAGATTGCATTCAGATAGGAAGTGTCCCACATCGAGCGCCGATGACCAAAAACTGTTTTCCCGGGCCACTGTTGCGGATAAATTCGTTTTCCAGTAATGTAACCAGTATAAAAAGTCTTAAGCTTTTAAGCCGCACTTTAATCTGTGATCACGGTACAATCACCTGTTACCTATTGGTTGCTTGAACCTCCGCCTCTAACTTTGTTTGTTTACTTAAGGATCTGTCTATTAATTTATTTGATTCGGCTTATATTTGTCAAGTGCAGTGACAGGTTACGAGGTGGGGGGAGCGGAAGCCGTTCTAGTCAATGTAATAATGTTATTGTTGCAATGGGGTACAAATGTCTCTGTGAAACTGCGGCCTCCATGTCCATCCCCCATTTGATTTGGGAAAAAGCCACTTTGTCCATCCCTCGTCGACTGCCTTGGCTAGAACCCGACTTCCACGGTCAGATGCCGGCAACTAGCAGCTTCAACTACGGTATGGCATTACCCAATACTTGCCTAAGGAAAGTCAGGTAAGCCACGAAAACATTGTCCTAACAGGCTTGTTACCAGACAAGACTCAAACCTGGGACCTCCCAATCACCAAACAGTGCTTGCCACTACACTGCGACGTTTGGGCCCACATTAACAACGAACAAAAACTAGTAGAGATGTGATGACTATCCCTATAACCCTCAACGATCAAAATCTCTAATGAAATCTGAGGATCCTGCAATAAATTCAATGTGGATTTTAGGTTCTCATGGCCTCATAACTGCATAAACATCAGAAGATTCTGCTTAGGATTCGAAGAGTTCACGGAGGTTTCCGAGGTTAAATTAATCTACGCGAAACTTCGCCAACTCGAAAGGAATGCTTGATTACCTCGACAAACGTAATAACAACTATTGAAATAAGCAAACGAAATACCTGTTTGCTGGTTCCTCTCGGTAATGTCTCCACGTTGCTGCCATTGACCACAGGGGCAGTTTTCTCATTTGGAGAGACAGAATGTGTTGAATCTTCCACCGCCGTACCCCCGGCTTCGCCCGGCATTTTTCAAAATCTAGACGCGAAAAGTTCGCAATGACAAAACGAACTTCGCACAATGCCACCTGTCAGACGCACCCACAAGAACAAGAAACAACTGGTACAGTACTAGTATTTACACAGCCCTACATAATTCGAAACCTAAACCAGATATATTAGACTTCCCTGCCAATCTTCGTCCTTACCTTACCAACCATAAATACACAATAACGCTGCGCGAGCTGGTGCGAACATCCAGGCGAAACGGCTCTGACGCCGACTACTCTCTCGTAAAAAACGAGAGAAATTTTATCAGACTGAAAATTGCGAGATTTTACATTTGCGTTCAGTTACAAATGCAACTTAAATTAATATCACACGTTTCTTATAAACAGATGTTCTCATTGCTCTATCACGCTTTACGAATTGTTTTCATCACTCGGGTGTTAATATTCAAAAGCCTCTTCGCTCTTTATAATATTGCTGCAACACGCTCGGTACAGATGCATCAAGAGCAGAATACATCTGCCATCTGTTATCTATACTCTGTACTAACTCCTATCGGTAACCACGACTCTGAAGTTAAATGTGCACTGTAAAACAACTACACTACCGACCAGCGATGACGAGGATGGAAGCTTTAAAAATTTGATTAAATTTGTTCGACCTTTGAAACCCGACATGATCTGAGATCAGACTGGCGTGAGGCAGATTGGTTTCTATCTATTTTACGTTTTTATGATTTAGAATAAAACTCAACGCATTTTACATTTCAGGGCCTTGTTAACTGTGTTCCTTAGGGACTTAATGGTCCACAGAAGAGAAGAAGCTACGCTACTTATTCCACACAGAATAGGACAGTATTCAAGTATTTAAATGAGATCAGAATAAATCAATGTGAATCTTCGGTCACACATAAATAATTTACACATTTCTTTAGAGAACAAGGATTTATTCAAAATCGAAGCCCAGACGACAAATCTTAGGAGAAAAGTAACTACAAATTTTAGAAAATATAAAAATAGGCCCACAGAAATCTAAGTCCACAGACTATATTCAATGTAGCTGTAACAACGTTTGTCTACAAATTGAGAAAATTACCAGAACAAACATCACAAAACATATTACAATCCAGTGTTTATCCCTGAAATGCATATAGATACTAGATATCTAAATGTTTTAAAGGAAAGTGAAGATAATGAAGGTAGCTGTCACTTTTTGCTACGTTATTAGAGGCGTCACTAGGCCAAGTACAGTAGACGCAAAATAACTCCGAGCTTGAGACACGCCACAGTAATACCAGCACTGAAGATGGAAACGTAAGTGGGAGGGAGACAGCAAAAGAGTCCGTCTGAGAATAAACAATTTTTCTCTTTTAATTTCGACAAGATCGATAGCATTTTGATAAAATGAGTTTTTATTCTGATCTGTGAAGGAACTTCCAACACCATCAAAGCAAGCACTCACCGGACGCGCTACTTCTGTAGCCTAAACGTAATAACTTCACATTCGATAGTACAACGAAAAATTCTGTTATCTATATCACTAGTGCTAACGTTTCGAGGTCTTCTCCCCCTTCACACGTGGGTACATGTAACTGGAATTATTTTTGCGTGCACCGTAGGACAAATAGCTCTAAACTACTCTTTAAATGTCTGCGACAGTGGACGAGTCATTGTAGCCTATCAGTATCATGTTGTAAATTGTCTATTGTCTGAGGTATATTTGGGAAAGATTACATTTCGGTAGTTGGTACTACTTCGGGTGACTGCCAATTTTCTGATACAATTATCTCTTACCAGAAATTGAAAGTGTTCTTAGAGCTTACAGCGTCAGAACGTTTAGAAATTCTTCCTTTTTGTACAGATAATAAATTGGCCTGCTCTTAATTTATTTATAACACGCATAGTTTGATAATCTACAAACAGATAAGTTATTCTGTAGTCGTATAGTTTTGGTGTCTAGGCGTGCTTCAAATAAGGCACTTAGTCCTTACACACCAAATTGGATAGCTGTTAGCCATGTGTTCACTTTGTAATGGGGTAGGGGTGTTGCATGGAAGCAATGAGACTCGCCATTTGGTAACATGTCGAGAGTCACAATTGCGTAATGTCTGCATAGCTGGACAGTGCAGAAAGTTCTGTGAAGAATTTGTGACGCCTGATCCAGTTTAAAGTACAACTAACCTTGTGCTTGTCGATCAAGGCACATTTTTACAACAATAAAGGTAGCTCATATCATAACATTCTTCCTTTGTACTGCTTCAAACTATTGCATGAATAAAAATAAGCGATTCTCATATTCCCCGCAACCAGAGATACGTATATAACCACAGTGACAGGGTACTCTATCCTTGGTTGTAAAACGAGCCATTTTAAGTCGGTCTACTGGAAGTAGCTGAAGGACTTGGGTTAGTGACCGTCTTGAAGATGGCTGTCTTCTGGGTTTAAACTTATACCAGATTACACGGCGCAACAACCCAGAAGACAGCCATCTTCAAAGTCACCGCCGTCAAAACTTCAAATCGTACATAGTGACCGTCCCCTAAATCTAATTATAAACCTCTGTGAACAGTCTATCCACAAAGCACAAGGCCAGTCATAAGGACATCCTCTCGAACGAGTTACAAACTGGAAACGCTACCGGTATTTCAAATTATTCGCTGTCATAAAAAGCCTGATTTCCTGAAACAGTTTCATTGTTCGCTATCTTTGGGAAAGCAGCGGAAGTTGAATCCACATCCTCGCACTCAGTGGATCCAAAAACCAGAACGACTATGCAGAGAGGTCATTGACTACCTCTAAGGGCATTCCTCGTATTTCTCCTGAAAATGTCATCGCTCATGACTTAGCCTCTTTTGATAGCTTCCCGACTAGCGATGCGTGTCTTCGGTTGGTCCGTCACTCTGTATAATTATTTTAGATTTTAACTGTTAATTATAACATTAAACCAGAATGGCCTATCTAGATTTTAATGTCGATGGATGAAGTTTCATTAAACTTTATATCCGAGAGTTTTACTAAAAGTAGTTGATAAATGTGAATGTTGGTTAAAAAGTGGCAACGATATCGTTCACTTTACATGAAGACGTACATCTGTCGGAATAGCACCTTCAATTAGGCGATGATCGCTTCCTTACACATCCTTTCCAATTAATTAATCATCCTATCATTCGACGTTCTGAGCTAGTAAAGCGTTGTTAAATAAGCTATAAATAAATAGCAGCAGTTCTTGACAGCGTCGTTGACTGAGTAATAGGAATTTGAAATAGGAAGACAAAATATGTTCTCGTGCCTCTCGACTTTAAAGCAATTGGCATGATGTTAAAGTAACACGTGACAGATACAACACTATTTCTTGCATATGCATAAAGTGGTCGGATTTTTCGCTCCCAAAACCAGTCATCCAGAGCGACAGACGGGTCTATAAAATGCGAGACAAAGGATCTGTAGCTGATTCTGATCAATCGGAAGTTGCTGCTTCTTTGTTACCGGAACTGTCATTCTTCAGTGACCTTCAGGACGAAGCCAAAACGCGAGAAAACAAAAGAGTGACCGTGGGAACGCAGATTGCTTCCATACCGACCACACCCGAGCTGCACAAAGCGAGCTGTGACGGTGTGACGAACCAAAATGGTGTTTAGTGTTACGTTCCAATTGTTGATTTCACAATCTCGGATAATTATCACGCCGCTTCCGATGCACGCAGGGGCACGCGGTCTGTATGCGAACAGCGATATTGGTTCACCTGAGCGGTCGGCAACCTTTTCATTGCCGCTGGCCGCATTGGCAGAAAGAAATGCCGTGGACAGTAAGCGAGACTGTATTTCTTTAGTTTAAACGTAATCAATGTTCACCTCGGTGACAGCAAAGTTTTTCCCTTCTCTCATCGGTTAATTCCCAGATTATGTGACGGGCCATGTACAAATGTTGGCGAGGGTAACAAGCAGCACGCGGGCCGCACAAAAAATTTAAATTCGCTTTGGATATTCGACGGTTAGTCGTTCTGTCGTTCAGCTTTGCACCCATCGGAAAGTTGTAAGTGCGACAAGAACCCAGACGACAGCCAAAAACAGTATAAATCTGAATTTCACTAACCATTATAAGCTTCGTGGTTTCTGTATGTACCACCTGCTTTGTCAATCAATTGTTGCATTGTGCCCAGAGTGATTCTCATAATAAACAGCGATTATTTCCCTAAACATCATTAACCAATCGATCTTTGAAATGAAGACATGTGGTTTCTGTGCGGTATAGAATATATTATTCTTCAGACGATCTTTGGCTTCAAACGGTTAAATGACAATTTGATACAGAAGATGGCAGGAACATTACCCTTGTTACCTCCCACCACTTCCTGCACAGTCATTAAATTTTCTGCGCTGGATTTGCTCCAAATGCCCCCGTCCTACTCGTACTTGGATGCATTTAGTGGCAATTGAATTGACCTGACCACTGTAACAATGGCGTGCAGAAGGTCGTGTAACCCCCACTCCGTTGCCATACCGTTGATGCAGTATATAACAGCAGATGCTGGGAGGAAATTAGACCTGTGTTGCCCTGTGTTATCTAGGAAACGTGTGTGATTTGTTTACAAAATGCGGAACTTAATTGTATTTGCTGCAGTGTTGTTCATGCTTCACTTCGTCTCCTACAGTGCTCTGGTAAGCGCAACAGTTTATAATTAATTACTAAGCTGAGATTTGAAAAATGCAATTCATGAACACAGCCTTCGACCAGTTTTTGCTTCAATCTGCTTTGATAATAAGAAACTGCATTTTATCCACAGTGTATTTATGGGGGTTTGTATGAGTATCGAAATAAATAGCAGTTATTTCCCTGAACAGCATTGTCCAAATGATCTTATTTAAGACGCTGACTGTTATGGAAAGCAGCGCACGGTGTGGCAGCAGTGTGCACAGTTAAGCGACTCTAAAACATCTCAGTTTATTTCAACGTTTGAAGGAAGGAACAACGACATCGAATGCCTAGTTTTTAAGGTGTTACCTCAAACTATTTCTGGGAGGGGCAGCTATTAGAATGCCTAAGAAAATCAAGTTGGTGGGATTTGTTTTCGGAGCCCGACTGTGTCACAAGCATAAGTGCAACCACGAATAACTTTCCGTTTGCGAAAAATACTGGCCCGAGAAAGTCCGAAATGTTATATATAACATTTGACTGCTATCATTTGAACCAGACCCGAATTTTATCTGTGCTACCAGGCCCGACCCATGCAGACCTCTAGGTGACACACGGCCGCCCTGGACACAGGAATGGTGATGATGAGTGACTGACTTGATGCTCCCGCCAATTTTATCTTTATCTGCAGATAAGGAACCCTTCTCAAGAAGTATGCGTTTTTATAATTCGATTTAACCCGTGTTTTCCTTGTTGTGTCAGGCACGGTCAGACCGGATGACTGCGGTGACAACTGAAGATCCAAAGATGTCGGAGCAGTCCGCTGCGTTGACAGTTAACATGACCGACAGTGAAAGCAGTTCTGGTGAAAACGACAGCACAGAGTTGGGCGAAGATGAAATTGAAGACCCAGACAGTGAGTTCATCAGATTCACGAAGCAGTTCATTCTGCAACCAATAGTCCAATTTTCATTTAACACTGACAGCGACTCTAATGCCACCCACATTCTTATCTTATTGTTTCACATGCAACGAAGTGATAATCATATGACTGGTAGAATTTTATAGATTAAAACATGCTTAAATGAAACCTACTGTAGTTAATGTCTGTATAGGTAAACATTAGCCTGATTCATTTCCTATTCAGAATGGTCTGGAATAAGGAGATGCTTTATCACCATTGCTTTTTTTACATTTATTAAGAATATGTCATCAGGAGGTGCAAGAAAATACAGAGGGGCTGGAATTGAATGGGACATATCACATCTGGTCTATTCTGATGATGTTTATGTACATAAATATCATTCAATTATCCACAGAAGGTTCAGGTTCCTGTTTTATCTGATGTCATACATCCACACGATGTCTTCTCAAGGGGCAGCGAAATTGTTTAGCCTAGTTTAAGCAAAAACTTGAATCCATCCCTGTGAAGAAGAGAAATTTTATATAATAGGAACAATTTACGGTTTCGTAAGCAAAATTTAGCGGCCATTTCTCACCCGAGTCTCCCGACTGACTGCTAGATGACTCTGGCAGTCAAATCGGGATTGAGTAGAAATTGTGCTGGCTGGTCACTCACTACTCACAAATGCACACTTCAAAGACTAGGAAACCTCCGAAAGGAGGCAGCGAAGACCCACACCGGGTTGTAGAGCCACTGATGATGATAGGAACAATTTGGGAGAAATGGTGAAGAACAGCAGAGGTGTATGGAGATGAAAGACATAATGGAAGGAAGAAATATATTTATATAAACAGAGTTCTTTTCAGGATTGTCACAGAGTTAAATAAAAAATGCTGAAGTGAGTAACAAACAGTATACAATACCAGCTGTAAAAATATTAATCATATCACTTGTAAAAAAACTCACTTCATGACGGAATGTTAGATTGTATTTTGATTCTCAAAATTCTGGTTGAACAAAACCTCATCTGTTAAAATTTGACACCAGAACAAATGTTACACAGAAAAATGTAATAATCTGTATTTAATCCATTTTCAGGTGGTGAAGAAGACAAAATTACCATAGACTCAAAGGTGAGGCCTATAAAAACATTAACAGTTGAAATAATATTAAATTATATCAACCTTAGCAAAAAAATTGGAAAGGAAAATAACTTTTCAACATGTTTCATAATGGGCAGTTTCCTACATTCCGTATTTACTCACACAGAGGGCAGGCTGATTATAAAATTCAGGGTCTCATTTTATTGTATGTCTGTGTTGGATTTAAAACTTTCATGGCACATGAAGGTTATAAAATAGTCTTGGGTGATCAGCTGCAACAATGTTCAGTCAGATATCAGAGCTAATCTCTGATAAGGCTTATCAACTAAGAGTATTTTATAACAATCGCTAAATATGAACAAATGCTAAATCAGATACAATTCTTGCATCATAATTCTTCTACCTCTGTATAAAGACATATGGACGTCAGAATAAGAGTGATACAACGTGTGGCACTACCAAGTGGATCAGCGTGGACTTAGAGAGATTACTTATCATTCCAGACAGGTTTTGTATGCCCACCGAAACCTACGGAGATCACAGAATTGGAGTCACAGTGCACAGCAGAGTACAAGGCAATGAAGAGAGCAAAGTGCAACATGACAGGTATACTTTCAAAAGAATGATTAATTAAACCTCCACTGAATGTCATTGATGCAGAATATGAAGTTTCAAAGTTAACTTTCCGTTTTATACCTGCGTAAAACTGAAAACAGTAACTGGGTAGTAGAACCTGTCTGCAGTTTTCAAAATTCATCCAACATAAATTTCCACCAGCAAATAAAGAACATGTGGACAGCTACTTAATTGCAGAAATGTTATTTACCTATTTTTTTAAAGTAATTCAAAAGTAATGTTTCATGACTTACCCATATTTCCCATTCCTTAATGTACAGCATAAAAAAATACAGTAGATTCAGGTTAATCGGGCCATCAGTTAATCGGGGCAGCCGTTTATTTGGGACAAATCTTAAAAAACAAATCTTTATAACTCTTTACGTGGAACTTCGCATAATCGTGGCAGCTACTTAATTAGGCCAAAGTGTTCTAGTCCCAATGCATCCCAATTAACCGAAATCCATTGTATATAGTTTTCTATATTTTTCCCCATTGTATGACTGCATTTCTGAGTGAAAATAACAAATGTCATCTTCGTCAGAGGAAGAGAAGATGAGGAAGATGAACAACATGGAATCATTGGAGAATGTTTCTCACGGTTTAGGCAAGAGAGAAGCATTGATGGCAGATGAGACAATGAACTCAACAGAAGCCATAACAAACACTACAAAAACCGCAAACATGCATCATCGTAAGAAATCAGTGAGTATATTTTGCTTCTGACCAGTCAGTGGTAAAACCATATCCTTGTATTATCTTATGTTTTCACAGCGACCAATTATAATAAATTCTTCTCGGGTTAGCAGCCATGTAAGGTGGTTTAATTCAGAACACACCGTTTTGAGAACCATCCTTGTCCTCGTGACATTTTCTTTGGCTGGCTTCATATTCTATTGACTTCTATGTGGACTGAAAGGAGTAACTGTGAGAGAGAATGAAATTAGGATTAAAACAATCTGAGGTTAACACAGAGACAAATGACATTGAGGAATATCAGAAGTGGAGGCCATATTTACCAGATGCTAGATAATAATTACCAAAAATAGTTAACCAACTACAGACTTTGGGAAAAGCAGGAATTAGCAAGACCAACTTACATAAAATTCTATTTGTTTTAAGTAAACAGTTAACACAAATAACAAATTATAGAAAATTATCCAGTAATACGTGAAGCTGTTTATGATAATAAGTTAGTAGCATTTATAATAAATTGCCATACACTTTCAATAATGACCATTTAAAAGGCTTGAAATAAGAAACAGTAAAAAGTGCCCTTAGGTCTTGAAAGGGTTACAAACCCCTAACTTAAGAGTTCCATTTATTTTTTTTTTAAATTTGTTGTTATCTCTGTTGCAGTGCCTCTACTATCAGTGCATTCTGAAGAAAATGGATGTGGTAAGAACTCTTAAAGTGATTCTATTACACTACAATGTTTAAGTTACTGTCAAACACATAAATCAGCATCTAAAATTAAATTTATGCACACCTTATACAGTTTGTCATATAACTTCAAAGCTGGTGTGATGATGTAGACAGATGTGCAGTTTTTGATCTGTTAATGGACTTAAATATTCAGAGAAACATGAACTTCATGTTGACACAACTGGAGAATTAATGTGTTATTTAAAACCAATCTGTAATGTCTGTTAGTTGGATGAGACAATGCTGCCAAATGAGGACATGTTCAAGATGTGGGTAGCCAATAATTTTACTGATGATGGAGAAAAGTCGCAACTACAAGAGAAGGCCATGGAGTGTTTCAATAACCTTCGTGAATCTGGGTTTTACAATGTGGATAGTTCCAAATCAGAAGAAGTTTCAGGAGAAGTTCCTAATGTCAAAAAAGGTTAGGAAATTACATAAATCCTACAAGTCCTTATTCTACAGTATCTATTAATATGTATCTGAAAACTAAACACAAAGATATTGATAATCCATAGTTCATATTAAATTATTTCTTACACTCAAAATGTTCTTACTGAAAAGTTGTATACAACTTTCATGATGGGAAAAGGGATATTATAATAGTTTAAATTCAATCATTTTTCCTGCAGAATGTCCAGAGGCTCTACTAATTATTGTTTTTTAAAGAATTATAATAAAATAATTATTTGTGTAATGGCTACTTAATAAAATAATGATGATGGGCAAGGGTTCTGGTTAGGAATGACAAAAGGAATGAACAAAGTATTGCTACTAATCTTTTCTTGATATTATTGTGACACAGTAAATAAGACAATATGCCAGCTATGTAAGAGTGGGGAAAACAAGTTTATATACAATTTAGATGAGACCTAAAGAAAATCAGTCACTTAGTAGATGCCATTCAAAATGGTCTGGCAAAGGCACCACAACTGTCATGCTAAATATACATTTCCAAACTTGCTTACATACCCTTTCTCCTTCACATGTATAAGCCACATCTTAATGTTAATGTCCTATTCCCACAGGTAAAACAAGTTGTAATGCAGCATTGAAACTACTCAAATGTCTGTCTAAACAGGATACTGAGGTATGTTTGACTTTACTTGTACACAGGTTTAACCCTTTACAGCCTTTTGGTACCTGTACCACCTACTTTAAGTCAATAACTGCATGTCCTCAATGTTGTGTTTTACTTCAGGTAAACTGAATTTATATATTGTTTAGTTGAGCTTCAGTATCAAGAAAATAATGTCAGTATCATTAGATGTAAGCTAAAATATTTTGACTGAAAGGAAATAAGATATAAAATGATGTGGTTTTATTATAAAAAAATGTCAGGTAATCAGCCATTTAATGTTGAATCAAATGCTGTTATGGAGACTAGCAGTCTCCATCTTTATGGCAAGTCTGAGAAATGACCATACATGAAGATGGACAGAGAGCTAGTCTTAGAAACAATGACATTTGATTCAACACTAATACAGTTGATAACCTGAGAACATTTTATAGCATTCATGTGCCATGAAAGTATTATGACTGACAAAGTGGTTACAAGTTGCTTCATTCTTGTTCCAGTGTCCTGTCTTCAAATTCATATGACGCTGCCATCCCAAGGCAACATTATGTAACAAAACTTCAAATACTCATAACACCAAAAATTTACTAAATGTAGAATGATAATTTAGTTTCCAATAAGTATGTATTGTAATATCTTAATTCTTTTGTGATATAACATCTGTACAACACACTTAACATCTAACAGTAATGTTTATGTACAGCGAAAGACACCAATATCCATGTTAATAACATCCCATTCGCTGTGAAGTTACTTCAGTCTCACTGATTGCAGCAGTGTACACTTTATATCATATGTAAATTATAGTGTATTAACCATGTCCTTTAACTGCACTGCAGGCTGTTTTTCCTTACAAAATATGCAATTTTTGTGTTAATCAAGTTAGTAACCTGGCAACAATATTTAACCCTTTACATGCCTGTAAAATTACTTGGTCAATGACTAGGTTCTGCTAGGCCAGGCATGATCCTATCTGGCCAGTTAGTAACAGGCTCATTTTCATATCTTCAAGGATTACACTCATTGACCTGTTCCTTATCCATTAAAATGTTATTCTGCCAATCCATTCTTCTATTAGTTGAATGTTCCTCTTCCCTCCTGGAAAGTAATTTCAAACTCTGGTATGTACCAAGTATAATTTTCTCTCAACCCTTCAAAATGTTCCCACCATTTATCCCTGTTGCCTTTGACCTTAGAATATAATTTCTGCCACTGGTATCCAAAAACGCATTTCTTATTAATATTATGTTGTTCTGATGTCTGAAATGTAAGAAATAAAAGATTTTGCAACTGTTTCACACAATTCCACATTCGTATTCATAAGAGTTGGTGTTTCACTGTCTAGAATAATCATACTATTTTAAAATACTGCATACACAAATATTTAAATATTTAATTTACTGATCTGTTCCACTATTTGTTTCTCATGACACAACAGTCAACTTCTATAGTTATGCAGGGGAAGAAAAGTGAGTGGACAATCACAAACGAATGAGCAGCAAACTTTTTTTAGGTATGTACATGGAAGGAATATTGAAAATCTTGATTCCCTCAGAACAGCCAGTCACTAGCTCAGATGAACTCAGCAGTGACATAAAAACTAGTACTGCAAAAGACTGGAAAAATATTATTGATTACACTGCCAGTTTTCTGATGCCTGGTTGTGGCTACAAATTTACCTGTAGACATTTAACTAATGAAAGAATTATTGCAACACTGGCATCAATCTTCATTTAGAGATGACATGATAAAGAACTGAGCTGTTACTTTAATTACAGCGTGGTTCAGATAACTGCACACAGCTCATTTCTGACCATCAAATGTGTAATGAACACAATCTAGAAACTGCTACCTCAACAGATTGTGCATTCTAATGAAGTGATTTTGCTTTCCTCTACCACTCTTGATTTCACTATTTACAATCAATCCTTCAATGCATGGCACTACTGAGGTTCAGAAACTGAGTCATATTTATGGCATACAGTACTGTGGTGGCTGCAAATTAAAGGGAAAAGGGTGAATGGGAGATACAGATTGATCAGAAAATGACTGTTCAAAACTACTTACAGCACCCAAAGTTACTGAGGCACAAACTCCTTCATTCAAAATTTCTATACAGACCTGAACAGCACAAGTTTGGGCTGTTCCACACATTTCAAACAGTTCCTTCCTGAACATCCCTCTTTATTACGCAGTGTCTCTTGAAAACAAAACTTACAGAAATCAAAGACTGACCAACTTCACTGTCAAGATCTGCCAGTAAGTTTCACTACATTTGTTTCCAAAATACACTGCAAACACAATAAGAAATAAAATGTAAGACATATCGGTTGTTTTTATTACCGTGTACAAATCAAATTATAATACATTTGATGCTGAAGATTTCACAGAGTTTGTAGTCTTCAACTCGAACAGAGGCGATTACTGGAATTAATACAAAACAAAGATCCAATTTCTGCTAATAACAATATAAATATTTTATGTATCTACTTAAGAGGTTATGAAGATATAAACATGACATACAGAAAGTTTACATAACAACTAATGTATGAAGAGCATAGAAAAGCAGTAAATAAATACCAAGCACCAGGAGATGTATAATAAAGACAGGAAATTGAAACACCATTATTTGAACCTTTCAGCTGTCAAACCAATGTCTACAGCCAAACAGCCAAAGAATATTTCCTGGCTTCTTATAGCAACCCAATGAACCAAAGCTGAATCCCACGATGTCAATGTAACGTAAGAAAGTAGCATCTCAATCAGGCACTTTGAACATAAGTTTCAGAGCAAGCATTCTATTTTTTTCCTCCCTGAAAGCAATTGGAGAAAGTATAGACACCAATAAACACTGCTACCACCACCACGGTTTAAATTTTGTTAATGTCAGACCACCTGCATGCACAAGTGCAAATGCATTAAATCTGTGCAAATCCAGTAGAACTTCTTTAATAATTTTGCTTCCCATTCCAGGGCAGCCATATGCACACACTGCGAGTTTAGTTTTACAACATGATATAAGTAGAAGCACATCTTTTAGAGCAAGCCTAAAGGCCACACACTGATATTAGGATGAGTGAATCGATACATTCATTAGCTGTGTTTAACGTAAGATATACTTGCATGTGTGGACAAACTGCTACTAAGGAACACAGTGACCAACAACTTTTTCTTGTCCCTGCATGTACTATGATGTCATCACACACCCAGCCTAAACCTCTATTGTGGATTCACAATGTTACGAGCTAACATGATTATCTTAAATAAAACTGGAATGATCATTAAAACGCCATTTATACATGAAGTCCAACAAGTAATCATCCAAAATGTAGAGTGTACTGCAAAGAAACAATTTTAGAAAGGGGGTTCAGAAATATGCAAAACATGGACAGAAGCACTGAGTTTTGTTTAGAACAACTGGACTTCTGTTCATGTTACACTAACCAAAGACAATATTACTGACTTATCAAACAGTTTAAACCAAAAGGTGGCACCGGCAAAGGGATGCAAATGTAGCATTACATGTTCATACAGAAAAATATGTTGGTGGAAACATGTCGATCATTTACCATTACTTCCACATAAAATTCAGCTGAACCAGTCATTCCTTGATAACAGAATGATACAATATTATACTCTTGAAAATCTTTATGGAGTACTAATCAGAGAAAACCTAGAAATTTCAAAATGTCATCACATGGATTCTCAGACGATACATCAATTTGGATGGTTACATTCTGGACCTGAAGAAAATCCATGACTTACGGCTGTGAGCTAACAGCTCTGACAGCCGCAGCATATTATCAAGTGTTGGAATATTCACTCATGATTATCAACAATACAGCCACGTCTGATGTATATTTCAGTTTAATAAGGTATACATTTGTCCCTTTACTGCAGAAATATGGTACTGAATACAATCTGATTTCAGAAAGATGCCACCACACCTCACAAGAGTTTTCTCATGTCATTTCTGGGGAAAGAGCTCTGCTGAATTGGTAACCTGTGATCTTTGAGGAAGGACTTTTCTTTATGAGAGCTAAACACAATGGACTATTTTATTTGGGTTCATATGAAGAACATTTATTTTTAAATCAGCACACAATCCAGAAACTGATAAATTCCCTTGGTACATCTAATCACAACTTCTAATGACAGGATGCAAGCTCTCAAAATCAATAAAGTGCATATATGAGACCGAGAGAAATGAAATGGGTTTCATGCCCCAGTCAGGAAATAAAACATGCAAAAATCTGAGTAAACTGTTAAAAGCAAACCATGCTTAATTCCATTTAGGCGCACACACAAATGCAAGAAAGTTAATAAATTATCAGCAAGCATATTGTGTAAAGCATAAAAGAGAAATAACATGCAGGTAGTAAGACATTAAAATTATTAAATACCCTTAGTTTCACACAAGGTAACAGAATAAAAATAGCAAATACAGCTAATAATCCAATGGCATAAAATATGTTTAATTTAAAATTAACTTCAATGACAAATCTGTATTCAGTAAACGGAGAATTTGAATCAATCTTTATTTTATTATGATACACTGTTCAAGCTATGCTGTTCCCAACACATACAAGGCATTTTACAAATTCCTCATCATCCACACACTTTGTTACATGAAGTGCACAAATCACAACAAAGTATGTAAGTGTATATGACCAGAGGAATGAATATAATTAATATGAAACCAGTTATGCCAATAAAATCTTTGTGCCAAGTCTGTATTTGCTACTTATACAATATACCAAGCAATGCAGATAAAATATCATACAATGAAAATCTTGTTACATGCCTGGACAAAGCCCAAAGACGTACACAGCTTTTGCAATGGAACATCACATTTTTACATTTCTGGGTGGCAAATTACATGGACCACAATAAGTAATCCCAAAACCAGGGTATGTAAAGAAGCTAAGAGTGGACATTTTGAACATTTATTTTAAATTCAGCAAATGTTTAGTACCAATAAAACTAAAGGACCTTGCACAGGCCCACCACTGTATAAATGGGTCGATAACCTGGCCAATCTAAACAAGAGGTCTTTCTCTTCTCAGAAAATAGAAATCAGAACTGAAAATATGACAGAACCTCAAGTACAGACTGATAGCATTACCACAAAACAACTCTGAAAATTGTTTGGCTTGTTTAAAATCAGTTACCACATACCTTCTTGCCTGATGCTGCCCCTACTTTGGACTTCTTAGTACCACGCACCTTCTTCATCCTGTTCTTACGTTCTTTACGCTGTTTGCGTGTGGCCTTCTGCTTCTCAAAAAGTCCATGCTTCAAGGGCAAAACAAATCATTAAATCTCAGTCACTCCAATGCAAATTCAAGATGTTTGACATTAGTAGTATTAGAAGTAACAACAGTGAAGCAACAGCAACAACAACAAAACAACAACTTGTAAAACTTAATGCTAGATCATGCTAAACTACATTTCATTATTAATAATGTCTAAGAATGACATTAACACATCATTTCTGAAGCTTACATTGAAAGTTTAAGATATACTTTCAACATTGTTTCAAATATACAAATGAAACAGTAACAGATATGCAATTATTGTTAAAAATTTGTGATCGTATTTATTTCATGATCGAAGCCATTCAGAATAGTTAGAAGCTTTCAGGATGTCTAGGTACAAAGAATGCATGTGAAAGCTCTGTGTACTTCTGCATGAACTGAACCTTTCTGGTCTTATTTTTATGTAGTCCAATCCCTTCATAATATGTTAACATTCACTAATGCTACCAGAATCCACAGGAAACTGCCCTCTTGTCTAAAACTAAAACTAAACTAGGAACTTTACAGTGCAATCTTCTGAGAGAACCTTTACAAAAATAAAGTGCTCTATCTCATCACCTTCTGGGAGGCAGACTGCAAACAAGCAACATCTCTATCACCAGCAAATGTTAATAAAAGGCAGTAGCTCTTTGGTCACTCATACAAAACAGAGGCCAAAAACCCCTCAAGAGCAATACCATAACAATGATTAAAATTAGTCACAAACAATTGTCAATCATAAACCAAACCCCTCTTCAGATATTGATTTCATCTCTTCTGCCTCCCTATCTCTTGTCCCAAAATGTACCTTCAATCTCAGGCATCTAATGTACTTGAAATATCAATGTTGTGATTGAACTTTGAATATTTGTGGCCTTCTAGGTTGAGACTGCAGTCCCATAGGCCAAGGAGGAACAGAAAATTTCTGCACTTAAGATGGAAGCTATATGTATGAAACACTGGTAGTTACCTATGAGACTACATGGCATCATAATCCAGAAGACCATAAACCAGATTTTCAATGCTATAAAAACCTCAAAATTCCAGGTAGCATAATTTCTGATAGTGAATATGTGGAAAGGACTTAAGCAGGTGGGCGAGTAGTGAAATACAAAGCAGTGAGAGTAAATTTCCTTGGCCTTCCCTTCCACTCCTGTTATTTTCTTCAGTATATGGTTATTGCCAACAATTTTGAGCAACTACAGATCTTTCAGTAGATATAAGACCAAGTTATAAAAGTAAATTTTAACTGCACGGAGGTTTTACATACCCTGGCTAATCTGTGTTTAGGTTCAAACTTCATTGCATAGTCCATCGTGTCATATATGAGAGCGAAACCAGTGGACTTCCCACCACCAAAGGCAGTACGGAAACCAAAACAAAACACTAAATCTGATGTAATTTTGTACATCTTTGCTAGTTTCTCTCTAATTTCTGTCTTCTTAACTGATGGTTGCCCTGGATGCAAAACATCCACAACCTGGAAAACAGAACAAGAATTAATTCTTTTATGATACGACACAACCTTAAAATTGGTCAAGTTATTTTAAACGTATGCAGATATCAAAACATTCATAAATACTACAATGCGAAACTAAACACAGCAATACGAACCATTTGTTTCCGGCACAAAAGCCGGTTCGTCATGAACTTTCTAGTCCTGATAGTTGCTGTACCTTCACTCTGAAACATGAAATTATAGGTTAGAAGCAAACAACGTATGAATATTTGAATAATCCTGTACTTTGCATTTCTTTTTTCCATTACTTTAAATTTAACAGCAATAGAATTACTCAAATTCCATGTAATGTGAAACGAATAACATGAAGCTAAAATAAATAAATAAATATATACACACACACACACACGAGCTCAACAAATACACATACCATGCTGACGCAGTAACGTTCATTAATGAAACACTTTCAACGTTCTTAAAAATATAATTATTTCAATAAAAAGTTATGTCAATTGCAATTTCATAGAAATGTTTCATTTACACAGTGATTGCTGAAATAACTACAGATTTTAATACAAACAAATGCATACCATTTTCTCGGCTCAGCGACCTACGATGTGAAAGAAGCGCTATCTACTTCCTCTTCCGCGAATTACGTCATAGCTGTTGAAAATGGCGTTGATTTCTGAGGGACATGAATATTCTTCTCCTTCAAAACGAATCAAACTCGACCAAAATCAACATCAATCAAATTCAAATGTGGAACTGGATTTTGGAGCACTTCCTGCACCCCTGAAGAATGTTCACGAAGTCATCGAAGGTGAGTTTGGTAGAAATACGTTCGATGAATTGTCGAACTTTGTTGGACAAAGATGGCGGATTCGAGGCCAGAAGCTCTTTTCTTCTATCGACTCCATTGTGGGGGCGGGGCTGCCATGACAGCGGAAAGGGCGCGGTGTAATGTGTATACAGAGAAAAGCGTTTCGGTGAAGGATTTTCCTTCTATAATCGGTACGACAAATATTAATGTAATGGAAATTTACTAACAAAGATCGTTAACGTTTTTGTAGTTCTTTGCATGTAAATTAGTATGCTATTTGAGAGTTCATTGACAGTTTCTTGTAGCTGTGCCAACAGTATAGCAATACCAAAGAAAATATTGGCGCATGTATAGTAATACAGAATGGAATACGAATATTTATAGCTAACATCCAAATACGTAAAACATCTATTCACATGTAAATTGCCTTGTGAAATACGCAACTTAATGTAAAATTAGTACATTTTGTGTTTGAAACTCACATTTCACCAATAAATATATTGTAGGGGAATACACCGTTAATGCAGAGGTGCTGAATAATGGAGACTCCGGCTTCAGTGAAATGGTGCCTGATGGAAGCACTAGCCAAGCAGAATCATCAGTGGTTGGTGTATCCATACACAGCAGTCAGAAGTCTGATGATGGAGGGTATGTTCAAGAAATGATAATTTATGTTTTGGTGATATTCATCATGAGACCAGTGATGCCAATCGTACTGTAGTGGTATCCCTATAAGAGAGAGAAGTGTACACATTCATTAAACTACCCTCTGCAATTAATATAGTAGCAATTTATCTGTTGCTGTTGTCATATGCCATCCTGTTTTGAGATCAGTTATATGTTTTATTAACATAAAACTTTAAGATAATAAAATATGATTCTACAAGTATTTCTGCTCCTCAAACTATCCACCCTGCTAAAGCTATATTGTAAGAAAATAAAACTGCAAAGCAACTATTTGTCATTTTCATTAGTTTTTGGTTACCCTTGCATAACATAGAACAGTATGTTGTGGGCATTTAGTAAAGCATCAACAGCTCTAACAACAGGAGTGAATCATAGAAAATCAGTCAATGTGTAGGTCTGGTCAACCTGTCTGACAAATTCTTAACATTGTCAGAAGCATATTGTGACGTGTTGCCGTGAGAGCAGCACAACAATGTCAATAACCAGTTTAATTGTCTGTTTATTTACATTGTTGTTTGTTTATAGACATTGTTGCATTTGGCATTGTTGTTTGTCAATTTACATTGTTGTTTGTTTATAGATATTGTTGCATTTAGCATTGTTGTATTAGTTTATAATTGTTGTATGTTTATAGCCAATGTTACGTGGGGCGGTATTGCGACCTTGATTGTCAACCCTGATTCATTCATGTCAAATTAAATCAGTTACAGAGGTCTGCACATACAGTCAACTCTATACCACAACAACAGTTGTGCGTTTGTATGTGTATGCCCTTTTACACCATTTCAGGCATGGAGAAACCTGGGGTTAGAAGATTTCATAATAAAATCCTGTACGTGATATTGTGATTGAGTTTTTTCTAGAGGGATGTCTTCAGTATGAATTAAACTTCAGGTGTTTATAGTAATTTTTATTTCATACTGACCAGTGGTATTATCCACCCACTTGGAGATGAACTGTTTGGAAGGTTGGAATACTGCTCCATAATATATGCCATGTTAATTAAATGCAATGTTTAATGGAAGTGGTGGTGACTTTATTGAAGGTAATGTTGAAGATTGCTGTCCATCTGGGTTGTTGCACCGTGTAGTCTGGTAGAAGGTTACCGACATTTCAGAGGTCGGTAAACATCTACCAGACTACACGGTGCAACAACCCAGAAGACAATAATCTTCAGACCCACAGTTGTGAAAACCTCAAATCTGACGACGGTAATATTCCCATCCTTTCTGTCAACTTGTCAAACGGCCAAGAACCTTACATCAAAACTTGTTCACTTGCATTGCCTTCCATATCATGTGTCTGTTGAAAGGTTTCTCCCTCTACAGAGTGCAGTATATACAACAAATGTGTTTGTATAATTTTAGGACTGCAAATAGTACAAGGGATGATGACAGAGATGAAGTTTCATCAACTGTTAGTTACCTTTCGGATATAAGTGGCTTGTCTGAACTGAGTGGACAAGAGTGGAAACCAATGGCAGGTAAGTGTACAGGGTAGTGTTTTTAGTAGTATAATTATAATAATTTGTTTGGCAGTGGTTCATTTTGTTTTATTAATGTAATGTTTAATGTGTTGCCCTCGGTGAACTAGTGGTTAGCGTGTGTGCCACTGTACCCAAGGTTCACGGGTTCAAACCCGACGGATTTTTAAGGGTGATAAAATTCCGTAGTACAACTTCCTTCGGAGGGGAAGTAAAGCCAGCAGTTCCCATGTCGTAGATTTACGGCGTGTAAAAGAACCTTGCAAGCTGTAATATTCATTACTGTCTTGAAATATATTTACTTGGTTTCTGAAGCAAGTGTTCCATCATGCTTAAGCTGTATTTTCAGCATGATTAAGTGTCCGTCTTATTTGAATATGTGTTCAGGGAAGGGTCGACCCATAAAAATAAATGATCAGAAATAATTTAACTGTATGTTTAAAATTTTTATATGAGAATGTGAAGAATTTTGTTTTTGCAAGCCATTATAATTATATATGTGTGTGTAATTATACATGAAGAATGTTTATGGTAAGAGATCATTAATGCCTGATGAAATTTGATCTGGTTGTGTAGTGTTTGTAGTTGAATTGTGGCTACAAGCAATTTCACAGTATTTGTAAATTGGTTTTCAGGACCTATGAGTTGGGTTCAACGACAGATGATAATAGGAGTAAATCCTAGGAGCTTGCTCAATCAACTAGTGACAGACGGAACACAAATTCCTCAGCAAATGGATGACTTAACCCTGTGGAAAATTATTATGAACATGATGAGTGAGCCACCTCGTCGGCAGAAACTCCGTCATATCAACACCCTGGTTGATGTAGTGCGATTGCTTAAAGGGGCAAATAAAATCATTGTCCTTACTGGGGCAGGGGTGAGTGTCATTCTATGATGACTGTTAATGGTATGATATCAAAAAAAAATTTAGAGTCAAGGTTCATATACAGGATTTTGAATGGACGACGACTTAATTTAAATCATATTTGATGATTTCACCAGATTTATACATACAGTGTTTAAAATTTCATATATAAAAATTTGTTGTATGTTAAAGAAAGTTCTTTGTATGGAGTTCATAGCTTTTATAATCATATTATATGGGAATGGAATTTTCTTGTAAAAGTTTAAAAGGTTTTACATACTACATTGTTTTAAGTTGTGCTTTTTTTTACCCATCAGGTTTCAGTGTCATGTGGGATTCCAGACTTTAGAAGTCGTAATGGAATCTACTCGAGACTGGCGATTGACTTTCCTGATCTTCCCGACCCACAAGCCATGTTTGATATACAATATTTTAGCCAGGATCCGAGGCCATTTTTCAAGTTTGCCCGTGAAATCTATCCAGGTCAATTTAAACCTTCACCTTGTCACAGGTATGAAAAATATTGCAGTCTAGATATTGTTCCTTATTTATTTAATGACGTTTTATCAGTTGTATAGTTTATACAGCATCCAGTGACATGATGTTTATGAATGATACATATGGAAGGATGAAAGTGATTGTCGGAAACGTATTATTTCCTGAAGAAAGCGAGAAAAAATGTGACGGGACAGTTCATCGAGGTTTGTACAGCGAAACGAGGAAAAACGAGTGATGTTTCAGCCCTGAAGATGGAGACATTATGTTTCTCTGAAATGTTGGCATTACACTGAAGAAGACGAACATCAGCTTCACCATTGTGAGAACCTCATCTGAGAAATTAGGTTTATGATGCAGTTCTGGGAACAATAAATTATTTTGGAAATTCTTGATACTGTTCAGATCAAAAACAATCCCAACTACATTCCAAAACTTTTGAAGATCAGGATATACAAAATATTGCCAGTTATTTTCCATGTGGATGTGAAACATGGTCTTTTCACATGAGGGAAGAATGTAAATTACAAATGAGGTTTCAGGTTCTCATGCTGGCAAGTACGAAAGCAGCCATCTTCTAGACTTCAAGTGTTTGCACATAATCTGGAAATTAATTGAACTAGTATATAAAAATTTTGTGATTTATACTCCGCAGTAGCTGCGCGGTCTGAGGCGTGGGCCTTGTGCGGCTTGGTCGCTCGGACCGTGGGTTTGAATCCCACTCAAGCCATGGATGTTTGTCCGCGTTTATCTGTGTTTTGCTGTCCCGTGTACAGGTAGAGGCCTTATGACGGGCCGATCCCTCGTCCAAGGAGTCCTACCGAATGTCTGTAGATCAAGCCAACGAAAAGTTGGGACCCGCAGTGCTCAGGCACTTGAAGAATGGGTCATTCCGAGTGATTTATACAAATTGCCTAGTTCTATTAGCATAATGAAATGTGAGAGGCTATGATGGACTGGGCATGTTCCTATGATGGACAAGACAGAAACAATATAGAATATTGTGGTGAACCATCTTTGGAAATGCCTACTTGGAAGACTTATTAGGCAATGGGAGGATAACATTAAGGTGGATGTTATGGAAGGTGGTTGGGAGAATTGGAAATGGATGGAACTGGTGTAGGTTCATGTACAGTGGCAGATTTTGGTATTTGCAGAGCTGAATCTTCAGGTGATGCTACCACAGTGTTAGTTTTAGAATTTATAATCAATATGTTTTGCTTACAGGTTCATAAAAATGTTGGAGAAACATAAAAAACTGCTGCGAAATTACTCGCAAAATATTGATACTCTGGAACAAGTTGCCGGAATTCAAAATGTCATAGAATGTCATGGTAAGAAATCTGCAGATTCTGATTTCTGTACTAAAGATGGATTTCAAATGAGATGTACTTTGCAATTGTAAACAAGAAGGAGCAATTTAATGTAGCATTAAAAAGATACTTAATTACACACTCCTTTTACTTTTTCTACATCCTATTGTCATCTGACTATGTTATGGATCCATGGAATGTAATGAAATATGTATGTATATAATTTCTGTATCGATTATTTCAGGTTCATTTGCTACAGCCTCTTGCACACGATGCAAACATAAAGTTACAGCCGATGAAATTCGGGAAGACATCTTTGCCCAAGGGATCCCCGTATGTCCGTGCTGCCCACAGGTTGTGTTACCCCCAATTCATGATACAGAAAATAAATATGAAAGCTATAAAGGTAAGGGAAGAAGAATATTTCTTCTGTAAAAGTTATATTTTGTGTTTTGTCTGTCATTTGCATTTTAGTAAAATTACAGCTCAGCCAGCGGGCCCAGCAGCTTGAGTTTCTGTCCTTCCCCACTTTTCATCTGAAGATGGAAGAGGATTCAGCTTCCAAAGTGTAATTTTACTGAAGTGTAGATCATGGACAAAGTTCAAAATACCACTTTTGCAGTTTATAATGCAACGTTGTCAGAAACCTTCGGACTTCGTCGTTCATTGGGGGTTCTACTTCTGGCAATACACGTGCTTTCCATTTCCAGATCTTGTCTCTCGAGGAATAATGAAGCCAGATATAGTATTTTTTGGTGAAGGATTACCAGAAGTATTTCATGAATCTATGGCAAAGGACAAGGATGAATGTGATCTTCTGATTGTGATCGGATCATCATTGAAGGTTCGACCAGTTGCACTCATACCAAGTGAGTATACTACATTTGTGACGTGGCCTCATCAATATCAGCCCATCTCCCAGATTCCTCCATGTACGATGCTTTAAAGAAACCGCTTAATGCTGTGAGAGCACCCTTATGATGATACTGTGTTTACTTCAATTGATGGGGTTGTGATGAATATGTCGGGTGGCAGAGGGGTCTACAGGTTAACATTGTATTCTTATGATTCTTTTGTAGAACATTATCCATCATATATTTAATAATTATAAAATTAAAAATCTGAAATTTAGTAGTTATAGAGGCTGGCTCCGTCTCCGTCATTGGGCAATATACACCAACTTAGAGGTAGTCAGAGAATGCCAACATAAAGAGAATTAGAAACCACTTCCTTGTGGGAGGTAGGCGTTGAATTAGTCTGCCACATTTTGGGACAGGTCAGACCAATCACTAAATAGAACAGAGTGGTAGATGGAATAATTTAACAGACAACTAAGACTGAAGCAATATAGGTCATGAATCCAAATGCCATTCAGGTAAATTTGCTGAAGAACAGAATAAAAAAAAGCAAGAGGCGTCAATCAAATTTGATACAGTTGCTCCCATTTCTGTATACAGCATCAAATTTGATTGGCCTCTTGTCTTCCTGTATCTGCTCAGTTAAATGTGATACTTTTATTGCAGGTTCAATACCACCAGATGTTCCGCAGATACTTATCAACAGAGAACCACTACCACATTTCAGCTTTGATGTGGAATTGCTGGGAGATAGTGATGTCATCATCAATCAAATTTGTCACATGTATGTGCTGTCATTCAAACATACTAAAAGCATTACAACCCTATTGAGAAGTGGATAACAAAAATTGTATAATATAATTATATTATTGGCATGCATAATACAATTAGTTGAACACTACTAATTACTACAGTGTTTTCTTTTGAAAACAACTTAAAAGAGACCCCACCAGTTGCTGGTTTGTAATTAACTTCTGTATGTTGCAGCATATTTGCTTTTATATATAGTCTGCCCCCTTCCCCCTAAATGCATTTATTAACCTCGGCTCTTTCAGTTTCTTTGGTATATCTTATGGCCTTATCTTGGATGTACAAATAAATTGATTACTATCAAATGCAAAAAAATTGCAACTGATATTTTCATTGTTTTACAGTGAGGAATGGACTAATGATTGGATACTGTGTATATTTTTGGATTGGGATTTTAAATAGCATGTAGTTCTTGCAACATTGGCTAAGAAGATTGTCAAAAGCTTAGTATACCCTACCTCTTCGGTTCATTCGTAGGGAATTGTTTTGTAAATGTTTTATTATGCTAGTGTTTATTATTTTCTGTTTCTTAATTTTTTTATTCTTTGTCTCCAATTTAAAACGAGATTAAAATTAACTGTATTCTGTATCAGGATGGGCAATAAATGGACCGAGGTATGCTGGCGACCTAATCCGCTGATTGAAGCGAGTCACCTGGTCCCTCACATGGGGCGCCGACGTAACAGTTTGCAAGACTCGTCCTGGGAAGATCGCAACAGTGATCCATGTGCAACAGACTGCAGTAGAGATAGTGTCAGTGTTCAACCATCCCACCAGTTGTCAGCAGATTGTAGCAGCCAGGACAGTGTCGTGAGCGGCAGGCTTGACGACCAGTGCTCGTCTTCTGTCCGCAACTCCGCAGAAAGTCGTAGCCCATTCCAAAGTGGCGAGCAGATGTTAAACATTGAAAGCAATGAAGCAGATTCCCTACAGATGTCCATTGACAGCGGCATGGGGATGTCTGCCGCAGACAGCAGCTGCAGCGCGTTCAAAGAGCGCCACATGTCTGTCGATTCCTCCACTCATGACAGTGGGGTTGGATTCTCTGCCGATAGCCCGACAGATGTTGGTAGTGGCCATCTTCATATGTTGGTAGATTCTACAAAGGACAGTGGGAAAACTGGAATCACTTCCCTATCTACTAGCAATTTCAACAATCCAACTAGCAGTAGCAGCGACATGTTTGTTGATTCGACTAAGGACTGTGATCTAGGTGGATCATGTGTTGACAGTAGTACCACCACCACCACCAGGGAACCTGTTGTGTTGGTAGAATCATCAGGGTTGCCAGCTGATCCAGTTATGGGCTGCAGATCCTCTAACATGGTGGTGGATTCAACAACGGACAGTAAGAACACGGGTGTGTCATCAACGGAGAGCAACTGTAGTTTGGTTGTGCATAGGCACATGTCAGTGGATTCAATGCGAGACAGTGGGATTGGCGATGGTAGCAACAGTGTTGGCAGCAGCAGTGGTGTCATCACCAAGGAACGTCACATGTCCGTGGACTCTAGTGATGACCAGCCTAAATCTGATGGCGATTTGGAGGGCCTCAGAGCGTGCTGGCAGCCGAAGATAAGAGAGAGCCTTGCTGCCAGACTTCCAGGTGAGTAGTGGAAAACAAACGAATTTTTATGTTCTGTAATGTCGCGGCTAAACGGTCGGCACTTCTGCTTTGTGTTTGGGAGTTCCCGGGTTCAAATCTTGGCCCAGAATGTGGCTATTGTGACAGTTTCTTGTGGTTTTCCTCAGTCCATCCAGGCATATTCCAGGATAGTACATTGAACTATGCTACCACTGTCCCAAATGTCTTCCAGTTTGTTATCCATCCTGTCATTCATTATGTTATAATCTGAGCCACTGATAGTGTAAAAAACTGCAAATAATTAAACAAATAACAATACTTAAGCGGCCCATCCACGTACGAGTCTGGTTTGCGAGTCCGGCTCGGCTTGGGTTCCATTGAGCCAGACTCGTTTGTGGGTGGGGTGTCACGAGCTGAGTCTGCCATGCATGTGTGGCGAAATATATCCGAGCCCGGCTCACGAGTCAAGCTCGCCGAGCCAGACTCGTACGTGGATGGGCCGCTTTACTGAACAACTGAATAATTATCAGCTGCCCATAGAGACCCTTTACATATATAATAACTAAATTTGACAAAATTTATATTTCAGAAAACTCCTACTATTTTCTCGCCCCAAACCGCTACATCTTCCCTGGAGCCGAAGTGTACTACGATCCTGATGATAATGAACAATCATCGTATAGCAGTAGTAGTAGCAGTAGCAGCAGTGATGAGGGTGACTCTGCCAACAACTCGTCAGCAGAAGAAAGTGACAATGATGTGGAAGACGGTGAATATTGGGATGACTTGGCTTCTGCAGTTCCTGACAGACCAGTCAATGGCAAATGCCCTTGATGTTAACATTGTACACAATAGCAAACCCAAATTATTGTTAATTAATGACAGCAGATCTGTAAATGGTATTGTTATTCATATGGAGGAAGTTCCAAGTCAGTGAGAGTGTCTCCTTTATAGAGAATGTTTCGATTTGTAGTACACGGCAATCCGGAGATTTTCCTCCGTATTCTTGTACGTGAATATAGTGATCTGGGAGAGCGCATGTAGCTTTTTCTGTCAAATTTTATGTAAGTGCTTCTGATGAATGCTTTGGTTCTTAATTTTATATCACGAAACTGCTACATGTGATGATCTCTCTGCTTACCCGGTAGTATCGATATGATCTGCGCGACAGCTCTGAGATACCTAAGCTTTCACACTACATTTATATGAAAAATTATTGGAGTGTTGGAACAAATTATTCCCTCTCTCTCCTGTTACTGGAGAATGAGTTGAATTAACTGCGGTGTTGAAGTCACGTTTAAAACCAGAGATAGGAGTAAATTGTAAGGTTTGAGGTTTTCACAGCAGTGAGTATGAAGATTTCTGGGTTGTTGCGCCGTGTAGTCTGGTTGATGTTAATCAACGTTTCAGAGGTCACACTGCCTCCGTCATCACGATTAAATGTAGAAGACACAGGATTCGACTCTTCAATGTGGAATCATCACCGCACATTTTTTACGTGATGCATCTAGAACTAATAGTAGAGTCTGAAAACTATATTCCAAGGTTTCCAGTGTGTTCGGAATTTGATTGCTACTTGAATTTATGGCCTGGACTTCGGTCTAAATCACAAGAGCACCGTAAAACTGGGGCAGAAAATGTGTGAGGTGCACCCCCTTCAACTACAGATGAAAATGATTGGAGCATGAATGGTTTATCACCGGTGGGATAATTGGAATCTTTGGTAATAACTATAAAAAGTGCTGAATTGTAATTTACGTTAAAGTTTAGGGTTTGGCACTTTTGCTGCCAGTCTTTTTATTGGAGATTGAAATGTTGTCTCCTGGAACGTGAACTCTGGCCTAATGTCAAAGCAGTGGCACATGCTGCCTGCCCCGCTATATACCAAGTTTGTTTGCTGATGCATGTCGAGTTTCTTTACGTGAATGGCCACGAGCACAGGAAAATGTACAAAGAGAAATGCAGGGCTTGTTCGTTTTTACGTAGACATAAAGTATAAAATACTTTTTAAAAAGATTTGAAATTTATAGTGTAAAGTATATATATTATGTCGGGTTGTGTGGAAATAATACTTGTCCAGAGATTATTAGCCTATTATTTTTCTCTTCAACTAAGTGTGATTTTTGTGTGAGTGTGCGTGCGCGTGCATATGCGTGAGTGAGAAAATCAGTAGTGACATTAAGTGTATATAATCACTGTATTATGGTAAATAGATGTGTAAAGGGACGGTCATTTCTTTCTGTGTGTTACAATTTTTAGTCGTGAGAAGATTAAATTTGACTTTTTTTCCTCCTTGATGTTTCTTCATTCTAATATGACTATGCCTTTTTATTTTTGATTATGGTCAGTTGAGCGTTGACCCTCTCCAGTTTCTTTGTTGAGATGGATTCGACAACAAATTTTATTCTGCTAGATCCAATGTCGAGTTCAACTCAACACAGTTTTACTGTGATGATTTCTTTGAAGTTTGCTATTGAAGAATTCACGTTCATCATAGGAAAATATTATAATTTCCTAATGGAAATCACCTTGAAACAAAACAACTGCACATCAATATCCATGTTAGTTTTGTGCACTTGCTTGCAAATCTGTTGTGCAGCGGCTGAAAGGTTAGAGAAATGAGATATAAAGTAGTGATGAGTGACTTACATGAAAAGATTTTTTTGTTTCCCACATGTTGATTGCCGGTGCAGTGGTCTGAGGCGTGGTCCTCGTGCGTCCGGTCGCTGCGACCGTGGGTTCGAGTCCCACTCAAGGCATGGATGTTTGTCTGCGTCTCCTCTTCCAGTCTGGTTGGTAAAGACTGGTCACAGAAGGCAAGGCGAAACCACTGCAGTACTTTTGCGAGAAAACCCTGAAAGGGGTCGCGATGGTCAAGCTGACCATAGACGACGAAAAAGCGATTAATTTTCATAAAACAAATGCTGGACTGGAAAGGGTTAATGTCGTCAGCATTGGTGCAAACTTTAATAACTAATATTCCAAATGAAATGATTTAAGTTTTGTACATTTTTTGTGAGTGACATAAATCCCAGTGATTGAAATAAGTTGCATAAATGGACCATTCTTTTTGCCGCTACTATAGCTAGGTTCCTAGAACATTTGCATCTTATGAGGAACTTTGTTAGTTCCTGTTCTATTCCATTAAGGATGTGATTGAACTATTTCTTGTCTTACATTGTAAGTGGGATCGTGTCTAAGAGTAGGAGTCGTATCTTCCTTAGCGATGTCACGCCTTTATGGGTTTTTATTTTATAGTGCTATGGTGACAGAAAGAAGGTACACTAAGTTCTATTAAACAAAGTATTACTATTATAATGTGTCTCAGAATATCTGGCAAAGGCCAGAACCAAAGTCTTGACTTACAGCATAGTTTTTGAACACTAGCAACAGTTTTTTGGCTGTCGGACAAAGGTTCTAGAATAATAACGTAATTGAGTAAATCTGATTTCCAAATAAAAGACCGGAAAAATTGGATGATAAGCGTACGTGACCTGCCATGTTGCCTTGGTTAATTACTATCAAAAGCTTTAATGAATTTGGTTGTGGAATGCATTGAATTAGGTTTTATTCAGTGATTTTATGTCGAACGCAAGACGTCATTGCAAACTCTTTAATATACATTGTTTCTGTAATAGTATCCAAATTTGGCATCTATTGCCGAGTATAATTCATCTGTTACGCAGATGATCTTGATAAGAGCCGAGATAAGGAAAATTAATGAAATTTAGCCCAAAACTTGTGCGTCAAAATTGAAAGTGTCATACAGAATATAGGCCTGTATAACCATTCAAAACACTAACTCAGAAACCAAAGTTATAAATCATTTATTTGCGTGATTTTTACTGTCATTATGTCCCCTCATCTAACTTGAACGAGGTGACAGGTTTTACGTCAGCTGCTATTTTTCATCACGTTGATTTGCTATCGCTGTTCAATTCTGATCCTTTCCTTCTTAACTGTTGCAGACTATAAAATCAGATCCCACATCTTTAATTGCTATTCATAGAAATACATTAATTTTTTTCTTTTTAAATATATTGTTGTTGTGAATTGCGCTAGCGTATGAGGAAATAACCTTTGAAGTTCCATTTGAAATTTCTTAGGCGAGACATGAACACAAGAAAATTTAAGGTTCTGAATAAGAGCGATCATTTATGAAGAGAAAAGTATGGGAAGAATTTATATCTGCTTCGACTGACATAAGAAAAACATATTACAAACCTACGGACTGAGAGAGAAATTAATATTGTGGGAGGAGACAAGATTATTAAACGTTTTAATACCAATATGGAATGGAAAAATTCGGATGTTTAAATTTGTGGCACCCTTTGGAGGCATCTACACTCCTGTTGAAAACCCCTGTCCTAAATTATAAAATTAAAATTTTTGGACTATAATAATTTTATACAAAAAATGCACAATTATCAGAAACCTTTAGCCCTGGCTGATATATATTTCTCTAACATACAGTAGTGCCATCTGCATTATTAAACATAATATTGAAACAGAAGAACTACAATCTGTCATTGTCGGTCTCCTTAACGAACCCCCAGAAACATTTTTCGTGTCTCCAACAGGTTCATGGACCAGCGTCTTCACGTAAATTTCAGAGAGCATTTTTTTACCAGGAACGCAAATTTTAGCTGTGGGAGATTTTCCTGTACTTGTCTACCTTTTTCGCGCTGAAACTATCCATTACATGTTTTAAGTGTGTATATATATTTTTCCGCTGTTACGTTTCATAATTATACAGAGCTCAAAATAGTTTACAAGTATTATCTGCAAAATATTATGAAATGATTTTATTTAAATGACAACTGAATTCATTGTAAATTTTTTACTACTGTGTGTGTGTGGGTTTTTTTTAAATGGACTGAGTATTTTCTGAAGCAATAAGATAAAAATGTAGTAAAATAGTTTTCTTGTTAATTATTATCTGTCCATTTAGTGTCGTGTTGTCACACACTGTTTACCCTTTCTAGCTTTTTGTTATGAACTCCAATGTTGTTATATGTGATTTGAAGGGTAACATTTTTATATCAAAGTAATATATTATATTAAATATAGTTTTGTGTTTATTTTCCATGTATTTGCTTGTGTAATTTAGGTCTTTCCCTGCTCGTGAGTCAGGTTCTGTGAGGCGTACCACAATCCGATGTGGCCAGTTCTCGGGAGCCGCTTTTCTAGTGTATTTCATATATATATATGCTTTGAGGTGAAGTGTTTTATTTTAAACCCTTTCTGATTCATATCTTGAGCGCAGACATGTGTTGTTTGATTTTTTGAAAGCTCGGAGGCAAGAGGGATAGATCATTTTCTCGAGTCACTGTTGGTTCCTGGTACTAAGTTTCTTTTCTGTGGTGCAGAGAGAGATTAATTAAATAAATATTTCACGGAAATGGATTCTCTTTGAAAGTCTGTCATCCGTAATATGCATGGAACCTGTAAAAACAAGCTTTTACTATTATTTTGTATATCTAAATAATTTTTTAAGTAGAATGTAGCATTTAATTTATCTGATTATACTATGTTTATATATGTAAAGAAATGGAGCAGAGTTTGGTTTTTTTTATAAATGTAAGGACATAATGTTGTTTAACTTATTTGATTTAGTAGTAAAAATGATGTCTTTGCTATCATAGCAAAACTGTTTGTAGTATCTTTCACATTTGATTCAAGTTTTTGGAAGATAATATGTGGAGATAGCAAACCTTTTTTTTTCCCAACAGTTTGTGGTAATATTACTTTATAAAGCTTAGATATTTCAATAAAATGGATGTTATTTTTCTTTTTTCCTGTTAAATCTGTTATTAAATTAATCAAGTCCTTTTAATATACACATTTTATTTTTGAGTATCCAAACCTTTTACTCCCCCTCAGAAGTTAAGCAGAAAAATTGCATCGGAACATTTCGTACATTGTCAGCCATTTCCACCAGAGACAGTCCCTGAATAAATTGAAAGTAAAGGAAGAAATGGCTATTCTGCCTTCCCAAATTGTTATATTACGGACTACTGGAATGGCTCAAGTTGCCCAGTGTCTTCTTTTTGAATAGACCAGTATTTAAACACAAAATTTCTTCCTACAATTTACCAAACATCAAAATAGGTTTCGCGCTGACATGTGATTTTATGTTTTATCTGCCCACACCCAAAAATCCTCGTCATAAATTTATGCAATTAAATTACACGCTTATTTTTTTTAGGAAATTAAATATAAACATTTGACCGTATTACGGTTGGTAGGATAGACGCACACATTGATAGAAGAAGGGATACATTTATTTGTGAAATGCGGGAAATAAAACTGTAGGGCAAACAGGCCTACGTGTATATTTTTAGAGCTTGTAATTTGTCTCCCTAACCTAATGATACGACACAATATGCAATTCCTTACTTTTTCGACAACAGAAACATCTGTTGTAAGAAGATCCACATTGTCCGCAACTGCATGTTGATTCAGTGAGTTTCGACAATAGTATGGAAATATTCCTTAGACATGAATAAAAAATCTAGGAACGTCCCCCTACGTTTAAAATCATTCAATAGTAATGAAATATCATTAAAACTTTAAAATTCGACACAATAACTGTTAGAAATGTGCAACAATGGGCTTTTGGCGTTTGTGGCTGTTTCATTGTTTACGGGTTTCCTCGGTTACGCACGACTGCGCTGAAGCGGACGTAAACAGAGTATGGAATTTGTGTGCAAACTCCATGTTTAACTTACATTGTGCTCCAGAAGTGTAAAAAGGTATTGATTCTATACAAATATTTCCAATTGTATTCTTTAAACGCACGGAAATTGGTGTACTTATCGAATGTAAACTATTTTGGACTTCCGGACGGAGAAACTTGTTATATAGATATTCATATAAGTTTTTATTTTATTGATATTCATTCAGAACAGATCTAATATATTTTAAGATTATGGCATTCATATCAGCTTTTATTTGTCTTAGTATAGTATTGCGCAACTTCTGTACAGTGTGCCGCGAATTTGTATACGATATTGGAAAGTACAGTTCGTATCACTTTTTCATGAGACGAAGCTGTGTGATGTGCCTTCATTTGTCTGACAAACCAAGGTGTGCCGCGGGTGAAACAAGTTTGCGGAACACTGTTTTAGAAGGCCTAATACATCACACGTTAAACTAACCAAATTTTACTTTGGGATCGACAGCCCAGTAATTGTTTTATTTCTTCTAACTAAAAATAAAACTTTGAATAGAAAAGGCAAATTTTAGACATTTCTGAAAATGAGATTTCAGGTTATCACGAAGGTAAGATGTCGGTGTACTTCTTTTGGGTTCTAACGCCGCGTGGACTTGTAAGTACATACCAACGTTTTAGAGGAACACACTGCCTCCATCTACAAGTCTACACAGTATAAAACCCATACAACCCTTTTCAAAGAATCTTATTATTGTTAATCCATCCTCTTGAATGTATTAAATGAATTGGTGTCCTTTAAAATAAATATGTAAAGCTCCTTTTTTAACCATGTCATCTATCAACAAATCTAAAACTCTGAAACAAGCCCAGTTTAGAAATAAAGTTGATTACTACATAACATTTCACATCGACACGAGAACAAGACCTAGGATCATGACTCCCTACTTCTACACCTGCCCGAGAAAATCCATAACCCGTGCCCTAGTGACGCCACAACCGCCACAGTACGCAGTCTCCAACTCAGGCAACCTTGTGTGTCTGTACATATCCCACGTTAGAGAAAATGAGTGTCTGTCTACACAGCGAGGTGCGATAAAAGGAAAGAGATTCATATCATTGTTTGTCGACAGAGGAACTGGAACCCTGGACTCTCAAGAGTGTCGCAAGATGCCGTTTGGATGGCAATACCTCGGACGATGGTCGTTCATAACTGCTCTCGTCGTGGTTTGTGGGGTAAGGAAATGTCTGATTTCGATTTTATGAACAGATTTCAAAGCAAAAAGTAAAACATTACTTTTGTCGTGCTGTAATTTAGTTTTTGCCTACTGTGCGTCATGGGGTCTGGCTGTATATCACCAAATCGAATTCGAAATAGCCCAAAGCTCTCGTAATGAAAATCAGCATGACTGGCAACATACGTTGGGCATCCGTTCTAATTGAAGCTACAAGGCACAAGGTTTTATGTGCTAAGTTAGTTTATCGTTATGCACCTGATCAATAAATACACTTGTTATGAAACCCGAAGACTTATGAACGTATTTATAAGAATCCACAATTGGATCATATACCAAGCCAGTTTAATCTGGATCTACCGTCCATCTGTTATCCTCCTACATGCGTCTGTTATCTTGTATCATAAGCGTTCTCTTTCCTGAAGGATTTTCTGCTTTTTAATAATTTATAAACCGGAGAGTGAAATTAAAACAGAACCTAAAGCACACATACTTATGATACCATTAATCAGTTTTGGCAGAACGGACAGAACTGGCCCTTAAGTTACGGACGTGACATAAGGGACCACAGCCTTCTTAATTACGCCAAGAGACCACGAATTCATCATTTCATTGTCAAGTCTGAATATTATTAAGAGAGGTCGTTTTGTGTCTTACACAGACAAATGTGGAAAGATGTTTACGTAAATTAGGTGGACGCATATTTTTTTAAACTAGAGCAGGGCGCTCCTTTCGGAGCTCCTAGGGGGGGGGTGTCAAGTTTGTAAAACGAAACCAACCTTGGTTAGTCCCGAAGGGGAGTTAGTTTAGTGTCTCATTCAAGTGTTTTAACCCCTGAGTAAGAAACTAAACTAACCACCCCGAATGGGGGGTTTAAACACTTGACCAACCCCCCGAAGAGAGTTGGTTGCGTTTTAAAATCTTGAGTAAGACACTAAACTAACCCCCGTGTATAAACAAATATAAGGTTATATTGTTGATGCCGTCATTTTTTGACGACAACGACTACTAATCCTTTCGGAGCGTTTCCTGTAATCTGATATTTTACTTTTTTACGTCGCTGATCAGAGGCCAACAGTTCTTGGTTAGTCAACTATCTACGTCCAACCCCACCCTTTCAAGTCTTCTTCTTTTTTCTATTCTGTTTTTTGTTGAATTGTTCTGATGTTTTAGTTCTTTACGTCGCTGTTCAGTGGCCATCTGTTCTTGATCAGTCAACTTTCTACGTCCAGCAACACCATTGCTAATCTTCGTCTGTTTT